GCAAGATTTTATAACGAAAGAACGATTTTATAATGCCTTATAGATTGTTTAGATAAAAGATGCTTCCTTTTCTGATGTTGTCTGATGGTTTAACGAATTATTCATGTAAATGAACAATATTTCAGTTAAATAATCTTTAATAAAAGCAAAAATAAAAAGAGGCTTTTATGTTTCAATCAGAAAATGATTTGCTTCTTGGTTTTTATTATTTTTTTAAGAGATTATTTAAAATGTGTAGCTGGATTTTTTATTGTACTGTGATGATAATACTGTGATAATGCAACAATGCCTCTGAAATCTGCATACCAACACTTCACACCTGTGCTAAGCGAAGTCGCAGGGTTCATTGTGTCTGGGTTCAGAATAGAAGTGCAAATAGCTGTGAGAATCACTGTTAATAGCTCTACAATTATAGCATGATCTTCACAGATACGCCTATAGAGGAGCTCAAAAGATTGCAGCAGTTGCAGCAGAATGGCGTTAAGACACACCTTCTTTAAAAGACTGAAACTGAATCTGCAGAAAGGAATATTTATTGAATTAACAATTTAATTTATTGAATTTCATGCTTCAATTGATCAACAGGAAAACCTGTTCAATTCAAGACATTGAAGATATAGAAAAAGCCAAAAACAAACCCTACTAAATATTTAAAAGGGGTATTTTAATTTAAGGGAATATAGTTCACATAAATAATATAAATTCCATAAACTTGAGTTTATGTTGAATGCAAAAGAAGACATAAAGGATCAATCATTTCTCAACAGGCCGGAAATCCGAACCATTAGAAACACTTATTCTTCCTCTGATTCAGCTTCACTATCACTGTGGAGCTGCTGCTATATCGAACACAAAAGAAGATTTAAAGGAGATTGTTGGAAACCAGCTGACTACCATAATATTTATTCTCCTATGGATGTCAATTGCTACCAGTTTCCATCATTCTTCAAAATATTTAGATTTGTGTTTGACAGAAACAACAAACTTTAGCATTAACATAAATGAGTATATTTTACTTCTGGGTAAACTATCCCTTTAAATATAGATTATCAACATGAAACATTAACCCAGTAGTCAAGGTAAGAGTACATTTATATTTTTATTAGCATTCTGAGATGAATGTTTGCTGGACTAGTAACTTGAAATTACTTTAAAACACCAAGCATGTAAATATCATACACAATATATTTAATGTTTTTTGAGAGATATAAGGTTACACCAGGTATCTATAATTATTTTATGCATTTAATAGTTTGTTAAATTATAGCAAATTATAATGAAATTAAGTGACTCAGTTTAGGCCTCAAATACAACTAGTCCTTTGTACTATTATGTGGTCTTTAAAGGCATACAAAACACAAATGCAGTAACAAAGTTTTTTAACAAGTTCTTTTATATTTTATGTTACAATAATGTTAGATTTCAAAGTGTTAATGAGTATTATTTTAAATGCTAAAGCCTTCAAATTATACACAAACATGTTCAAGCATTGCCATCTAAAGTAAAGATGATAAAATACCAAAAATAAAACTACCCAAATAGCAACAAAAAAGTAGATCAACCATCATGCAGCTTTGTAAAAAAAATGTCCCCTTCAGCACAGCGTCTAATGCCAAGAAAAGCTTGCTTTTAGGAAAAAGAAAGAGAGTGTGAGCGAAGCCTCCATAGCAACGGTTTCCCCTGCTGGCCAAGTTGCCTTGTGACGCTGAGTCAGACTGGGTTAACGTTGCCTGTTTGGTTGTGCAGGTCATGAATGACAGCACAGGCTTGTGTTTTGCTTTCTGTTGTGCTGCTGATGTTGTTTTAGTACACCATAGTCAAGTTACTACCTGACCACTACCTTATATTTTTTTAGGTATATTATCTATTTTGCATTTTTAAACTATAAACTAACCTCTTGAGGCCTAAGCTGTTTTTTATTTCTCTTTGCTATGTGGGCTTATTGGAACCTAATGAGAATAAAACCTAAATATCAGCTTTTGATATGATGTGCTTTTAGAGAAAATGTATGTCCATATATGTGGACTTTTGGTCTAAATTTTCCATAAAACACAATATAGTCCTTTGAGTAATAGAATAAAAAACTCTTTATTTCTGCCTTGAACACAGCAGTTTTTTTCCTGACTGTTTTTAATGCATTAATAACACATACATATATTTTGAAAATGTTTGACTATCAGTAAAAACAACATTTTTGTCCATTTCGGACAGTTAAACGTGTTTGGGACATTCCATATGCTGCTAAACAGTTGCAGGATGACACTGTATGTATGTATGCAACAAAATATAAACCATAAGACATAAGTGTGAAAATGTCTTGTACACATTTGTGGCCACTAAGCCCAAGGATGTTGAGGTTGAGATCCATAATATGAAGATTTCTTTGGAAAAAATGTTTAAATGTGTAGATACTCCCTTTATCTACGTATGTAAACATTATTTTGTCTAAAAAAAATCTTCATATTATGGATCTCAACCTTAATTTATCTCACTCTAACCCTAAAAATACTGATGTAGCTGTTCAAATAGAATAATGTAAAAATATTAGTTGTTTTTATTGCAAAATAATGGCAGCAATAATAAATAATAGGTAACATACATTACCAATTTGCTATTTTAAGAATACCTAATAATATTTGACTATCAAACAACATCATAGTTGGGTAACACTTCTTTTATAAGTAATTTATTACAATCCTAAATAATTTTTTATTAAGTAAATGTGTAAGTTAAATTTTAAGTTTTATTTTTTTTAAAGATTGGTATATTCTTTATCTTAATATATTACTTTTTTACCCAACACTGAACATCATAATGATGTATTAAATATGTTCCCAGACTTATACTAGGCTATTAGTGTAGCTATATTTTGCAATAAGTAAAAATAATTATTCCCAAGAACAAATTTCTCCTTTTAGCTCACATTTGTCAATTGTGTGAAGTTTCGAGGGGGAAGGGAGCTGAAGAAACTGCACATGCGCAAAGGATTACATTCTGGGCAGATGAAAGCTATTGATTACATGGATTTCTGGTGCTCCTAATAAACTTTACGTCGCGCTTTTTGCTGAACTGAATTTTAATATTCAGAGCATTTGGAAGGGAGTCATATGGAATCGGATTACACTGTCCAAGAAGATAATCTAGGCGAAGAAATAATCAGGTTTATTTTTTGCGATGGCGCGATGGTTTGCGAGACACGTGATCGGCACTGTCCAATCATGGCGCGGCAGCGATAGCCATGTTTTCTTTGTTCTGGATTTATGAACATTGCTGATTAATTACGCTTTTACATGTTATGGATTTCACTGAATCAAGTCTTTAATCACTATGGGGATGCTCTTGCTATACAACGTATTTCAAAAAGAAGACGTGTTTTCTGGAATTCCCGCCTTAAAACCGGTTTTAAGCCACGCGAGTAGTTGTGTGGGTTAATCACATGACTCTCCCTCCCCCCACTTCGATCCAATGACGGGGGAAGAAGAAGTCGGACATGTTTGAGGGAAATGTGTTGAATAAAGAAACGTGGCTGAAGACAAGAAGAAATTCAGGATTTTTTCCCAACAATGAGGAGTTCGACATGTTTTGTTTTTCTTTTTTCTTTTCATTTCACTTAATCTGGATAGAGGTATATGTTAAGTGATACAGATTTATTTTATTTAGCAAAATTCGTTTTTTGATAAAATAGTAGTATTTAATGGTAAGCGTTTAATTTGAATTAATTTATTAATTACAGACGATTTGGTAATGTATTTTCTTCTACATTGTATGACATTGTTTCAAATCTGTAACCTTGGAAGTGGGGGATGGGCGGCTGTATATTCTTCTAAAAATGTGCTGTTTTACACCGTTTAAAGTTAAAGCTCGTTTAATTTATACGTTATTTAACTTCATCTTTTACATTTAAGCGTCTAACATCGTTAATATATCTAAATAAATTAATTTGATATGCGCAGCACATTGCTCTCTAAAAACACGGCTGTAAAAACTCGTTAAGTTTAAGTTGTTTTCTTCGTTTAGCTAGAAATATGGCAAAATCAAGCATATTTTAATTTTTGTACATTTATTTTGGGAGTGGTTTAAAGTTCCACGTTGGCTTTAATACACTCTTCCTTATTTCGCGTTGAAGTCTGTATATTATTAACCTAATTCGATAACTTAAATGATTTCTGGTCACTTTATTGTCTTTTGTACACATTTGTCTCTTTTATCGTGTTTTTACCAATGTGAGTCGTCGTTCGAGGAACCAAAGTTGCTGCGTCATTTCATGGCGGACACTCCTTGTAGGCCATGTTGAATCGACATAGAAGGACATCGCCTTTTCGCTTTGTCCTTTTCACTTCGTGTTGTTGGTTTTCTGTATGTTGTCAGTATAGTCAGTTTATATGTGATTTAAAAAAAAAACTACGTTTTTTTAGGTATCGGGCTGTTTTTTGTTCGGGAGAAATGTTGTATGTACTTATATCACGACGTTGCCTTTAGTCGTTAAGAGTTTTTGTCTGTTTTTTTAAAGTGATTTTTCAGACAGTCCATGAGGGACATGCTTAGCGAGCTGATCTGTACGTGTGTGTGCCGCATTTGTCTGTTGCGCGTGACTAATCGGGTGAGCCAATGGCGTGTTTCCAACCTGCACTGGATGATCGCGCCTTAGTTTTAGGGAACCAATCAGCGAAGCCTTCTGACGTAACACAGAACTCTTGAGAAACGCTGCATTTCTTGCAGTGTTATCGCATCCTTAGGTGTTCAAAACTTTTCACGAAATTGTTTTCTTAAATATTGGGTTCATAACTGAAGCAGTTTTGTTGCATAGACAAGCGGTTTTTGCTTGATAATCTAGCTTAAATCCGAAAAATCATGCTCAGGGAAGTGCATGGGCGTGGCCTGTTTGACTGACAGCTAGATTGGCCTGTAGAATACGCGTAGGCGTGTACGTATGGCGTTACAGCAGCCAATGGAGCCGTCGATGGGTTTATAAAAAGTCGGGCGGAGCCTCAGCGTCGCCATTTCATTGTAGCTCTGAGCTGGAGGATAGAGGAAGTCAGAAAAACAAGGCCGCGAAACTCGGATATTCGAGCGAAACCGGTTTATAAACAGAATCCGGATCCATCCCGATGGAAACGGCTCTTAGCCCGCCCTTTGACAGGTACCAGTTGGACTAAATGACATTACACTTGTTCTGTGAAGGAAAAATGTTGTTGGAGTATTGTCCTAATTCGGCATCTTTTGGAATTATTTTAAATTAATCACTTGTGACCTGTCGCAATAGCATCAGATGAAATGCCGGAATATTACACCTCCATTGACTTTTATTTTCAGGTGTCTGTGTTCTTGAGGGGACTAAATGTAAACAGCGTCGGTTTGGGATAGTCTTGAAGTTTTAAAGTGTGATTTTTAACGAGCAGCTGCCGCCTGCCGGTGTTTACTGCGCAGGCGCGTTTTCGCTCACTGACACGGCTAGTGGATAAAATGACGGCTATTTTGTTGATGTTCAAACTGACAAGTTAGACAAATACAAAGCCAGTTATATCTCTCAGATAGTTCGAACTGTAGTAACGTCTTGTCTGTCGTAAAACACGCCGGGATAGTGTGCGAAAGAGAAATTAGCATGCTTTGCTAAAGCTATCAGCGACCAGTCTCTTATACAGTCTCAGCAGTTGCTGGGTCTTTATTAAATACGAGTTGATTTAATATTTGTACAATTTTCGTTATCCGAGTGAAGGTTATGATACAATGCCTCCAATATTTCTTCCTCGACTGTTTTAGTTACTGTATTGATGTGAAGTTGGAACTTGGAATGTAAAATAGGTTACCGTTACCTTTAACGTTAGTCATTCTGAAACCCATGTTGAGTTGAGCTTCCGCCTCATACCACGTGGACTTTTGTCAACATTTAACGCGCGGAAGGCCGCAGCTTCGTGCTCGAGCCTGTAGATCGCATCTCGACTGCTTTTGTTTTCGACTGTCAATGATTTGTGAAATCTAATGGCACAACGCTGAATAATAATTCGTGTAATTGTTTCGCTTTTGGTTGCTTAGCAACGCGAGTCGTTAAACGAGCCGCATGAAGCCTGCCATCTGCCCCCTCCCAACCATCATAAACTAGAGACAGAGTAAATTAGACGTGTTCAATGTTTCATTTATTCAAAGATTGTTTGTAAACCAACATTTTTCTTGACTGAAAATAAAACGTTTTCTATGTGAACTGATTGTGATTTTGTATCATTTAGTAACTTTTTAATTTAAAAGAAATTGCATGTTTTAACTTTATTAAAAATGTGTGATGGATATGTGCAACTACAAAAGTGCAACAGCCTGTCTGCATTCAGTATTCTTCAGTTTGTTCTGTGTTCATCAGTCCTTACTGGGGCAGGTATGCAACTGTCTGGAAGGCATGAGAGCAGTAATATATGCAGCAAGAGTGAACATCTACCTCAAGTGTTGTAGTTAATTTTTACATTTCTAAACGTTATGTTTGCAATACATTTACAATTATTGCATCAGTATTGCTATCAGAGCAGTCCCAGTGAACACTGAATCCCAAAAGGATGCACATGAAAGATTGTGATGTGATATGAAGTTAAACAGTTAGGCTTCAGAAGGTAAGTTTACAGAGGAAAGAAGATTCTGAACGCTGGGATGTTGGGAAAAAAGCCAATACACTATGCTTTTGTTACTAAAAGGTATTGTCATTTTACATTAACAGTAAAATGTAGAAAGGGCATTTTAACTTCCTTTTTGATGCATTACTGAATATGTGAACTAACTTAATTGCAATAGCTAATTTCCTCTGGTTTTAAAACTAAAGGTCATCATTTTAATTTTAAATCTATATGCTTATACGAGATGTTTAATGCAAAATCAAAAGTTTGGGTAGATGTAAGACGAGGGTATTTACTGTCTTTAAAGGAACAAAGTAATGTTATATATATATATATATATATATATCTATATCAATATCATAAAATAAAACTCTTGTTTTGGTGGAATTGTTAGTGAAACTAAGGCTTCAGGGAATTGATTTGTCATTCATACTGTTTGTTTTAAAAGCCCACAGTCATTGGATAATGCCTCAGATAAACATACAAACACAACCCGATCTGGGTAATTAGGTCTATTGAAGGTCACGCCCCCAGTTTCCAGCTGAACTGTGGCGTATTGATCTGGAATGTTTCTCAGCAGAACTCATCCATGCCTGGACAGATAAACCGCTGTAGGGCCAGCTCACTCTTCATGGTTGTTGCTTGTTATAAGACAAACATGATTAGTCATAACCTTTGAGATCTATAAAGAGCTGCCGATCAGAGATGACTCACCAAGTTTCACATCATTAAATCATACAGCTGCTCTATTTATTGTTCATAAGTTCTATATTTATGGGTATACTTGGTGTCGGTATGAAACAATATTCCAATATGAATTATATACTCTTGGGTTTTCTCCGCGTGCCTCATCTCCATGTGCCCGTTCTCCACAGCTCCCTGGGCGGGTGCGACGGCATGCAGGGGCTCACCATGATGGAGCAGACCATCTCTGGACCCGGCAAACGCATCCGCAAGCCGTCGCTGCTGTACGAAGGGTTTGAGGGACCCGCTCTGCCACACATAGCTCAATCTGGACCCCCTCAGCCCGCTGTGCGGGACCCCTCAAGGCAGGGCCGAATGACCAATCAGCTGCAGTTCCTCCAGAAGGCTTTAGTGAAGACGCTGTGGAGGCATCACTTCGCCTGGCCTTTCCACGAGCCTGTAGATGCTGCCAAACTTAACCTTCCTGTAAGTTGGTTGTTCCAGAAAAATGGACTGTTCAGGGGTAGTTTGTTTGAATGATTTTAAATATTTAACAAGATGATGCGAGTTATACCTCAAGTGTCTGTGTGTGGTGGAGCTCATTTCAAAGTTTTAACCATAATAGTGAAAGTTTATCATTTGCATGTGTTTTTAAAGGGACAGTTCACTTAAAAAATGAAAATTGTCATTTACTTAACCTCCAAATTCCAAACTATTTGTTCTTCTGTTGAAAGCAAAAGAAGATATTTTGAAAAATATTGGAAACCTGTAACTATTGACATCCACAGAAGAAAAACTTAAACCATGGAAGTGAATGGTTACAGGTTTCCAACATTCTTTAAATATTTTTTTTTGTGTGTGTTAAACAGAATAAAACTAATTGTCAAACTGGTTTGTAGTAAGTGAACTGAGATGAAATTTTATTTATATATATATATATATATATATATATTTATTAATTTACTTGAAAGTAAGACACAAGAATATAACAATACTGTTTTTAATCATTTTATGATGAAGACTGTCTTTACATTTTGTTTATTCAACTCAACTCTCCAGAAAACCATAAAGCACAGTTTATTTCTTTAAAACACTCTTTAATTTTAGTTTTTAATTTATAAATATGCGCTCATCTACAATATCAAACATTTAAAATCATTCTAGAACAGTTAACTAAACAGAGCTGTTCAAGAATCTGGTGAAATCTGGTGTGTTCCTATAATTTAGAAAACCAACATATCACAATGTCAGTTTCCGCTACACTCTGCAGCTCCTGTGTGTGGTTTTTCTGCCATATTAAAGCCTCTTTTATGTCACGCAGGATTATTATAACATCATTAAGCAGCCTATGGACATGGGGACCATCAAGAAGCGACTGGAGAACAATTATTACCGCAGTGCCAGCGAGTGCATGCAGGATTTCAACACCATGTTTACCAACTGCTACATCTACAACAAGGTCAGTCGGTTAATTTCTGTTTGGATAAAAAGTTCTCAGACTTGTTTTGGTGCAGCCCTTGGATTTGTTCCATTTTAAGTCGCTCAGGTCTTCTACTCGGCCTGTTCTGGTGCGAGTTACATGCATCAGTGGTATTGTCTAGAGACTGTCATGTGATCTAAAAGTCATCTGTTTATTAAAGCCCACAGATGATATCGTCCTGATGGCTCAGTCTCTAGAGAAGGCTTTCCTGCAGAAGGTTGCACAGATGCCTGAAGTGGAGGAAGAGATTCCTGCACCTGTCCCCAGAGGAAAACAAAGCAAACCAAAAAAAGGCCAAAAATTATGTAAGGATGTGGTGAAATTACCAGATTATATTCTTTCTTTACATTCAGTTATATTCGATATTAATTTAAGGTTTCTATAAATTTTCCTATCTATCTATCTATCTATCTATCTATCTATCTATCTATCTATCTATCTATCTATCTATCTATCTATCTATCTATCTATCTATATCTATCTATCTATCTATCTATCTGTAGTTCTATCTGTAGTTCTATCTGTAGTTCTATCTATATCTATATTGCCTAATTCTATTTATGTTGTTCTATCTATATCTATCTTGCCTAATTCTATCTATCTGTCTATCTATATAGCCTATTTCTATCTATCTGTCTCTATCTGTCTGTCTATCTATCTTTTTAATAGTGTTAAACATTCATTGTGTGTTTTTAAGAAGATTCATATGAAATTGGGTCAAATGGTGCTGTTTGTTTATGGATGTTTGCTTTTATTTTTATTTTCATGTTTTGTCTCTGTTTTAGTCTCAGGTGGGATCACGACAGCTCATCAGGTTCCTGCCATATCTTCTCTCTCTCAGCTGGCTTACTCTCCTCCAACTCCAGACACCCCAGACTCAGTGCTTTCTACGCCACCACAGACGCTTATAACCAAGAACTTTCCTCCTCCTCCGTTACACAGCACGCCTGCGCTTTTGGGCCTCCCGCCTACACAACCCACTGCTAAGGTAAGGTTAACAGTTTCCTTTTGAATGCAATATAACGCCAACATGTTACAGGGTTTCTGCTAGGTCTCAAAGTGTACAATTTCAAAATCAGACATTTTATGCCTTAAAATCCCTTACGCAAGCTGAATGATTGAGTTCTAGGTCATTTTAAGGATAGTTCACCCCAAAATGATCTCCTGCCATCTGGTTTTAAACCTCTAGTGTAGAACAGAAAAGATTGAGTGTTGAACATGAAGGCAGATATTTTGAAGAGTACTGGCTGCTGACACCAACCAACTTTTATATTGGAAAGTAAGTTACTATGGATGTAATTTTTGGGTGTAATATTACTTTATTTCTGTATATTCATATTTCTATTGATATTATTGCTGAACAAAAGTTACTCACGTCCAGAATAAAAGTTTTTAACATGATTTAAATGTGTATATATGTATATGGAATATATGATACAAATTATATATAAATTTAAATATCTAACAAAATTGGTTTGTTTATATTTTTAATCACATGAGTGTCTGTGGGGTCTTAAAGTATTGTAAGTTGATAAATCAATGTAAAAAAAAAGGCCCTTATAAGTCTTAAATATTATTTTGCAAGGTGTTATATCATTTTTGATCATGCAATATGTGGTTGTATGTCAAAGTTTGCCGGAAAGAAATCTGTGAATATCAGGATGCTGTGTAGTTTATGAATCAATGAAATCCTGCTAGATTTGACCTCATGCTGATTTATTTGCTACAGTAATCAAGGCAACACCATTATTTCTGCAGATCTATAGGCGCCAACCTGCTGAATAAGCTAGATTTAATAGATATGTATTCAGTATATGAATAACCTTTTAGTTTTGGATTAGTTTCTAACATTAATATTCAGTAAATATACTGTAAGTTAAAATTGAGTGTTGAAAAGTAGTTTTAAGGTCTCAATGTATTGAAAGAGTTTTAAAAAGGGTCTTAAAGGTATTAAATTTCACTCTCTGATTCCTGTGCAAACTCTGCACATGTACATAATATATATATATATATATATAAGCACTACTATATACCAATTTATCTAGTAGTCATGAAATTCTCCAACAGCATGCTCAAATGATTTATAAGAACAGTAAACCACAAAAAGCCATATTATGACAAAATTAAACAAAGCACCTAAAATTATATAATGGCATTAAAACATTATTCTTCCGCTAAACAAAGTAGTTCCTCAGAAACGGTGGTTGTGGTTGCAACAAAATGGTTAAGCCATGCAGGCACTGCAGTATGCTCTGGTGCAGCAATGCTGATGTAATTAGGTCACAGGTGTGTGTTTGTAGAATATTTTACAACAGCTCAGTCTGCAGCTCAGCCAATCACGATCTAGCACTGGAGCTGTCTGTTTTATAATCAATTTTAATGTTTTGATTCTGTGATGTTTTCAGTTCTTTCACTATTTAAAGTATAGTTTGCTTTATTAACTCTACAAATAAGAAAAACAATGTGAAGCATGTCTGCAGTTTCATTTATAAATGATACTGTTTTAAATTTGACTTATAAATAAAAAAAAAATAAATAAATAAATAAATATTTAGAAATCATGTATTAGATGAGTTGAGCTAATCTTTCTCCATCTTTTCAATAGAAAAAAGGCGTTAAACGCAAGGCAGACACGACCACCCCCACCACCACAGTCATGCCCCTCACTTTGGGTGTAGGAGGCATGGGGATGGGTATGGGCATGGGAATGAGTATGGGAATGGGCATGGGGATGGGTCTGGGTGGAGACTCCCCACTCACCCTCTCCAATATGGGCATGGATTCCAAACAGAGCCTGTCCCTCAGCCTGGGCATGTCTCTGGAGGACAAAGTTCCAGCCAGGCGAGGTGGCAGTGGCCGGCCCATCAAACCACCTCGGAAAGACTTGCCCGACTCGCAGAACCAACATCAGCCAGTGCGGCGAGGAAAGCTGAGCCAGCAGCTCCGATACTGCAGCACCATCCTCAAAGAGCTGCTGTCCAAGAAGCATACGGCCTACGCCTGGCCTTTCTACAAGCCAGTGGACGTGTCTTCACTGGGACTCCACGATTATTACGATATCATCATGTATCCCATGGATCTGAGCACAATTAAGGTGTGTGTGTAAAGAAGTCTGAGTGTGTTGTGATGTTGTAAAATGAATGAGATGTTCATGTTTGTTTGTCAATCTTGCAGAGGAAGATGGATCATCGGGAGTACAGAGATGCACTGCAGTTTGCTGCTGACGTCAGGCTCATGTTCTCCAACTGTTACAAGTACAATCCTCCAGATCACGATGTGGTGGCCATGGCCCGGAGACTGCAGGTAGGGAGATTTGCATTTACAGCTGCATGATTGAGTTTTAAGTCTACTACACTCAAGATAGTTTATCATAGTTACACTCATTTGAGAAAGGCATTTCAATTTTTTCATTGTTAGCACAAATTAAGAAGGCTGGAATTATTCATATGATACATTTCTCTTAAGGTTCAATAACTATATAACGTGATAAAAAAGAAATAAATTCTGTAAATAATGTCTGTACAGATATAAACATAATGATAATGATAGGCTGTAGACATTTTTATTCAATATGGATCATTCTAGCAACACAAGCATGCCAACAGCCAGTTAGTTCATCTTGGTAATAAGCTTTCAGTACAACCCTTCTAAATAAAAACAAATGATTTAACTTAAAGTTCTGCAACAAATATATATTATAATGTACCTGTTTAAATAAGAAAAAAAAAAGTATTTTTCAGCAAGATGATTCATTATCCATTTTTTAACAAATGTATGCAGTTCTTTGAGTCATTTATCTAATAAAAATTTGTAATAGCATTTTTATTTCATTACATTTTAAAAGATTGGTTAAATTGTTTTAAAGCTTTATTCATCGTTTCATTTGATACAGTTCTGCTGATAAAGTTTTAATAAGAAACCAGAAAAACTGAATTGGAAAACACGAATAAATGGATTTGATGGGACCCTAAATTGAAAGGTATGCATGTAGAAACCATTTCCTCACGCATTAATTCTAAAATTATTATTGGAATAAATATAAATACTGGGGCGAAGCAGTGGAGCAGTAGGTAGTGCTGTCGCCTCACAGCAAGAAGGTCGCTGGTTCGAGCCTTGGCTCAGTTGGCGTTTCTGTGTGGAGTTTGTATGTTCTCCCTGCTTTCGCGTCTGTTTCTTCCGGGTGCTCCGGTTTCCCCCACAGTCCAAAGACTTGCGGTACAGGTGAATTGGGTTGGCTAAAATTGTCCGTAGTGTATGAGTGTGTGTGTGGATGTTTCCCGGAGATGGGTTGCAGCTGGAAGGGCATCCACTGCGTAAAAACTTGCTGGATAAGTTGATGGTTCATTCCACCACTAAGCCGACAAGAAAATGAATGAATATAAATACTGGATCATATGAGGAAAATGTATGATCATATTTTAACTAACTTTGACCAGATCTACAATCATATTTAAAAAAAAAAATCCTTTAAATCTTAAAATTGTAAACATATTTTAAATGTTAAAACACTGATATTGATTCCACAATTTGTTAACACTTTTTATTATATAAAAAAGGCAGATTTAGTAGCATTTGCTTCATTAAAACAGAATATCAAATGCAGGTCACTATGGAAAACTATGTTGTGCATTGCAAAAATAGTGCTCATTTGCTTCGTTGCCAGATTGAAAAGATTAATAAAACACACTGTGTAAAAAATACACTTTAAATGGACGAACAGCTTTTACTGTAAATGCAGAACTTATAAATGCTTCAAAATATATTAGAATAAATTCAGTAAACTAGCAATGGGGGCTACCATACTTAATTGACAAGGCAAGTTTACCTCTGTAGCACATGGTAATTCAAAGTGCTTTACATAAACAGGAATAGACAAAACATAAAATACAAATATAAGAACATAAAAAAAGAATAAAAATTATTTAAAACTGATTTAAATGTGTAAAAACGTTTTAAGGGCATGAAAAAGAAAAGAAAGACATAATGGTGCGATCTGTGGGACATAGCACAGTGCTCATCCAGTAAAGGCACAGCCAAACAGATGTCCTGACAAAGAAAGCTTGAAAAAGTTGCAACTAAAATCTGATTATTCAGGCAGCTGTAACTGCACTTCTATTTACACACATTTCAAACTGCTTGCAAAAAAAATCTATGCAGACCGAACATTAAAAATGTCTTCCCTCTGTAATTCAGGACGTGTTCGAGTTCCGCTTCGCCAAGATGCCTGACGAGCCCCTGGAGTCTCTCCCACCTGCATCCCTGGGCGGCGGTCTAGGCGGTGACTCCTCCTCTTCCTCCTCCTCTTCCTCCTCGTCCTCAGAGAGTGACGTGAGCAGCGAGAGTGAGAGCGAGAGCAGCCCGAGCTCTGACAGTGAGGAGGAGAGAGCGCATCGCCTGGCCCAGCTTCAGGAACAGGTGTGTACACAGGTAGCGGCTGAGCTTTCTTCCAGCACACATGGCTTAATCTGAGCGGTGTGGTGGCCGCGGGTATACAAACGCTCACTGACTCGATCACTCGCTTGTGTGTGCAGTTGAGGGCCGTTCATGAGCAGCTGGCGGCGCTGTCCTCCACGCCCATCATCAAACCCAAGAAGAAGAAGGAGAAGAAAGACAAGAAGAAGAAAAAGAAGCCGGAGAAGCATAAGCGAAGCAGGAGCGTGATTGAGGATGAGGTGGTCATGCGGCCGGCCAAGATCCCCAAACTCCCCAAGACACCAAAGAGCAGGAGCAACAGCAAAGCGGCGACGTCAACGCAGAGCAAGAAGAGCTCAAACAAGAAGAGCAACAAGAGCAAGTACGTCTCCGTTCACCCTATTTACCAGGGTTTTACAAGTCCGATTCAAGAGTAAAAATTTAGGCCTTCATTTTCACTGAAGTATTGTGTATAGGCAGTGGTGGAAAGGGTACTGAAAAAGCATACTCAAGTAAAAGTACCGTTACTTGCCTAAAAATGTAAAGCGAGTAAAAGTATCTATTGTAAATATTACTGAGTAAAAAGTAGAGCTGTCTAAAGAACTCGAGTAGTGAGTATTACACTGTAAAAAGCTGATGCGTTTACGTAATTTGTGGATGTGTAAACGTAACATTCTATAGTGCATTTAGTGTGTGCTTGCTGGGCAATAAATGTCATAAGACATTAATATTAGGTTAGATTTAGGTCATGGCGTCAGATGAACGAAATTCATCGTCTATCCAATGTCTATAGACAACATTATTTTGATGTCCAATAATTAAATCAAATGATGTTGATATTTGTTTGATTTTAGGTTGTTAGAAAGTTACTAAAATCCAACATTGAGCCAACATCTTAAACCAACGTCGTATTGATGGCAAATACTGACATTTACTTATCAGATACGACAACCAAAATCCAACATCTAATAGAGGGCATAGTGGTAACATCCACACAATGTCAAGCTGTAACATTAGTCGTTGATATTTGGTTGATTTTAGGTCGGACATTGACGTCGGCATGAAGTTGGGTTTTGAGGTCAACTGTATTTTCATTTCCAAACAAAATGCAACGTCTCTACTATGTTGGGGTACAATGTCAATCTAATGATGTGTGTCTGCTGGGTGTTTTAGGCCATTTTGATCATCATGCAGTAAACACTCGTCATCTTCTCATCAGTGATATGCTTCCAAACAGTTTCTAGGTGAATGTGTGCAAATCTTCATGGACACCTTTAATTCTTTCAAACAGTTTGCTGCAATTATTAATCGCACATTTCTTGAGGTAGTTCATTAAGATGCGATTTACCTTCCATGTGCTTATTACAGTAAAACTCGATGGTATAGCTGAGCACAGAGGAATTGTATATCAAATGGAATTTAATGGGTTACATTTTATGGAAAAAAAAATAACGTTTTGATTTATTTCAGGGGTACATCTTGCATTGTTTACTGATATTTTGACCAATTAAATTTAACAGAAGGCCTTTCAGGCTCATTTTATAGCAATAAAGAATAAGGTCACTGACCAGTGGTGCTGCAAACCCACCAATGACTGTTTGTTGCAGGGACATACAAAAGTCTAACTTAAGAGAGACGTTCTTTTGTAAATGTAATTGAATAATTTAGGCCACATTTTTATGCAACCAAGCAAACCACATGCTTATTATATTAATCAAGGCCATAATGTTTGCCAATAAGTGCAAAGATAATCCAGATGCCCCGAATATGAATCAGGCGTAATACTCAATTCTCCAATTCTCAAATTAAAACCTGCAGAAAGCCAGACGTGCTGAAATTTGAGTTTAGACATTTTAATCATAAAAATGTATTCAAGCCAGAACGAGAGTATAGTGCCTTGACATATCAGCCTAAAAAACAGCAAAACTTTTAATTGTCTGTCTGTCATGGTACACAATGTAACTACAGAAGAATCAGATTTAAATATTTAATAAATATAATTTTTAAAAAAATATTGAAACTCAGACATTTTTGAGTGAGATGCTAACGGTCTAATCTGATTCAATGATCTATGATAAGCTAAGCTAATAGTTCCCCCGCCAGATCCTGAGATCAGCTGAATGGGAAAAAAATGGTAAAACTCTGTTGTTTAACTGGGGGGCTGTAAAATGAGCCAATTTTCAGAAAATCAGGTTTAAGACTCCCTTAAATGCCCCAACAGTTCTTTAAAATATTCATTGTCTGAATATGTGTTGTATATATTGAGATGTAGTTTGTTTATTAGTCCAAATATACATTATTACAACTACAAACGAGACTAAAAATGTAATTCTCAATCTCAAATACTATTCATAAATAAATAAAGTTTTAAAATGGACTTGGTCAAGCCTGCAGAAACCCAGACTTGCTGAAATAAGTCAGTTTAGAAATCTTAATCACTAAAACTTATTTCTTTTTCCTCAGGTCATCAAAGAAAGCTCAGCCCACGTTTTTCCCACCGCCACTGAGCCACAGTGGCCTCACACCTCACTACGACTCCGAGGAAGAGGAGGAAACCAGTCCCATGAGCTACGACGAGAAGCGGCAGCTCAGTCTGGACATCAACCGTCTGCCGGGGGAAAAACTGGGCCGCGTGGTTCACATCATCCAGTCCAGAGAGCCCTCGCTGAGAGACACCAACCCTGAGGAGATCGAGATCGACTTCGAGACCCTCAAACCATCCACACTGAGAGAGCTGGAGCGCTACGTAATGATGTGCTTACGAAAGAAACCACGCAAACCCTTCGGTAAGAGTCAAATCCTTCTTGTGAGAGGAAATACAGCAAGCAGAAACACACTTTGGGCTTTTTGGCCTTTCATAACAATAGAATGACATCCATTAGAGGCAAAAATCTCAGAGCTTTTTTTTTTTTTTTTTCCAAACTAAAACATCCATTTTTGTGCCGCTTGATCAATTTGTGATTGTAGATTTATTTTACAATATATATTTTTAGAGATTGTTTATTTTCCTCATTCATTAAACTTTAAACCTCCACTTCAGCTGCACCAACATAAACCAAACTTATTAATGTCTAATATTCTGAAGGTTTTACAAAAGGGTTTGATCCTACAGAATTCACCAGATTATATACAGCTCTTATACTGTCTGTTTTGAAGTATTTTCTTTGTTTTCATTTATTTCTTTGTGATAAGTAGATTAAAGAAAAACTGATGTAAAAAAAATTAACAAACTTTATCCAATGTTCAGATTTTTGTGCTTAATCTATGCACACAATACATTCTAATTAAATGTTTCATCTGCATATTTAAACAAACCTAATGTTAGAAAACTAATGTAATCCATCGGCTGGGAAAGTATGTGGATAAATATTAGTTGTTTTTTTTACTCTCTTCTCCTGCCGTGTCTTGCCTTTACTGTATGCTTGATTTGCTTAAAAGGCTTGTTTGAGAGTTCTTAAGACGCTAACAGTAATCTAAAACTAGACTTTAACCCATAATGCACTGTGCTGCCGCGCCTTATGCTATTCAGCACACTTCACACTTAGATCATCTGCTCTTTACTCTTCCTGTGAACAAACACAATACTCTTCTTTCATTCCTTCACTGTGTGACTCACACATCAACATTGACTAGAGGTTAATTATATGACAACAGGAGACAATATGATGGCTTTCATAAGCCTGCACTTACTAATCAGAAGTATAATAAAACTGACAGATTTTAAAATGCTGATAAGAATTATTATTTTTTTTGTGTCACATGATCCTCCTTGGTGCTTAATTTTTTAATTTTATCTTATTGTGAAAAATTGCTTATTTTTTGGAATAGAAAGAGAGCAACATTTATTTAAACTAGACACCTTATATTAGTGTAAGAATAACTACTGTCTGTTTTGCTCATCTCTGCTGAATTTAAGCGTTCATTATTTGTATTGTTTTACTTTTCATTTTGTGAAACTTCATTGAACCTCTATATTAAACATTTATTATTTGGGTAGAATTCTGATGCTATTTACATGATTTAGATTTATGACCTATTTGTTGTTGTCATTACTCTTTAATGTCCACGTGAAAACAAAATTTACAATGTTTATTTTGCTGGCGCACTTCATTTGTCTCAAGTTTCAGTTCAACAGTTTAGGTGAAATATGCTTAGCCACGCCCCTCTTTAGTTTGCAGCAAGTGAAAGCTAGGAGGAGGAGCACAAAAGTAAAACTCCGCCCCCTACTCAATATTCTGATTCAGTTGGAAATACATCATCAACATACTAAAATTAGACTCAGGTTGATGCGCACTTTCATGTTTGAGAGAAAAAAATCTTTACTCTGATTTACTGCAAATAAAATGTATTAATTGAAAAAAAATTACAACAGAATATGTTTTACTAATAAATATCCACTTGGGTGGTATAATTTTTTTTAGTTGTAGTAGTTGTAAGTAAAGGTTTATTTATAAAGCACCTTTCCCAGACATTGACTCACAAAGTGCTTTACAATAAAAGAAAACAAGTAAAAGAACACATCAATAAAAGAAAATGTGTTAAAACATATTAAAACAAGTTAAAATCCAAATACAGAAACACTTATACTGGTAATTAAAAGCTTGACCAAAAAGATGCATTTTAAAATGTTGAATGTCTCAGTGTTATATTATTATTATTATTATTATTATTATTTATTTATCTTTTAATGTTTTGGGACTCTCTTGATTGGTTCACTGGATCACAAAATATGACGGCAAGATGTGTTTGTGCTAACAACTGTACCTGGGTGCCAATTTTAAAATCTAATTACATTTATTAATCCTTTTTTTGTTTGTTATTTTTTTGTACATTTTGGTACATTTATTGATATAGATTTATTTTGTTGTTACTTTTATTGAATTTTTTTATTTTGGGATTATTTATTCTGTTGGCTAATGGTGACATAACATACAGCAAATAAGTGGGTCTATTTAGTTTTGTAAACATTAATTAAAAGCTAAAACATATTTTATATATGAAGTTTTTAGTTGCAATACTCCTAAAATCATTCCGCATAAATCCGCAGATTTTTCTTTTACAAAATTCTGCAAAGTAAATGCAAAAAAAAAAAAAAAAATTGGCATATTCGGTCTGGCTCTATTTATGGATGTCTGTATTGTGAAGATTGACTAAATGGTGACATACAGCACTTCCAACAATATAAATAAAAAATCGACACTAAACCCTAGACACAGCATGGTAGATTTGACTGAATGTGTCTGTGAATGTGTTTCCTCTAGTGGCCATAAAAGGCTCTGCAGGTAAATCTCGTGAGGAGCTGGCTCTGGAGAAGAAGAGAGAGCTGGAGCGGAGACTGCAGGACGTCAGCGGACAGCTCAACTCCGTCAAGAAACCACAGAAAACCAAAGGTAGAGCCCCAGAAGATGAACACACAATCACTCACACACACACTCATGATCATGTTTAAAGCAGAACCGTGAATGACCTCTTCTGTCTTTCTGTATTTCAGCGGAGAAGCCGTCAGCGGTGGAGCCTCACGCAGTGGCGTCACGTCTCAGCGCCAGCAGCTCCAGCTCAGACTCTTCATCATCCTCCTCCTCTTCCTCATCCTCTGACACAAGTGAATCAGACTCAGACTGAGCAGATGATGATGATGATGATGATGATAGAAAAAAAAACATGCACTCCATCCCAGATCACGACATGCAGAGAGAGACAAATAAAGAACAGGCTTTCTCTTTACAGAGAATTCTGGGAAAAATAAAGGGTGGAGGAGGAGCTGATGGGGGAAATCAGAGCAGGGTGTTGTCTGATTGGAGACTGGTTTCCATTAGTTCATCCTCCTCCGCTCTGTGTATATACCTGTATAAAGATATATAAATATCTATTTTTCTTTTATAAAGAAGAATTTTAAGCAATTCCCTGGTAGGGAAGACAATGATTTTCTTTTTGTGAATCTTTTATGTTGCTTTCTTTCTCTCCTCCTCTTTTTTTCGTGTAAACTATGAATTATTTGTCCTAAAGAAAACAAAAGGCTTGGAGTGGAAACTGCTGTCACTTGTGTTTGCATGAGCGAGAGAGAGGGTGGGTGTGTGTGTGTGTGAGTGAGAATGTGACATTGACACCAGTGCTTTTCCTGGTGGATTTACACACACTGCACATACATGGATGTGTTGTGCATTTGAATAAATAAAAACAGAAGCTCCACCTATTCAAATGAAATCATCTGTAGTAATGGAGAACAGGGCATTAGGTGACCTGTCTCTTTTACCGGGTGATCTGTTGGCTTCAGTGGCGTTTTAAAACTTGAATCTGATCTCCATCATCCAGCCTGCTTTATTCTGAGTTTCAAAATCTTCATTGTTTCTTACACAAACTTGCCGAGTCTGGCTCTGTGAATCCGCCGGGCCACATGAGCGTCTGTTTTTCTGCATACATAAATTATTGGAACGGTCGTGTGGTTTCGGTGCTGGATTGCGGAGCAGATGCGAGTGTTAGATGCACTATCGGACACACAGCTGAGTCACGAGCTGTGGAGATCAATACTGTTCTGTACATCTTGCTTTTTGACTTAGGATCTGCGTTTTGTTTTAGTGTTTATAATTATTTGCTCTGAGAATTCATGCACAGATTGAGTTTTTTTTACCCTCATAAGTCAGAATTTCAATACTTGGAAATGTAGGTTCAGTGTCATAAGACATGCTGTTACAACAACAAAGATTTCTCGGTCTCTTTTCTCTCTGGAGATGTTGTACATATGCACCAGTTTGATGAGCTGATCTGTGTTTCCTGCATTAGTTTGTCTTGTTTACATCGGCCTTCAGCTCTTCTCTTCAGTCTTGTGGCTGGTTTTTCCACAGCTCGTTATGGTTTAAGACGATTACAAAAAACAAAAACAAAAAAAACAGAACGAAGTGAAACCTCATGCTGTAAGCATCGTCTCAACAGATGCTTCATGCAACCATAATTCTCATCTGAAATACGTCACGTTAATAAAGGGGGTGAGAAGTCCTAAAACAACTTTCTGGCTCTGTGTTTTCTCTACAGGATGCTTCATCAGCACTTTATTTTACAGCACAGTTCCACGTTCAAATGATGGACTTTTTAAATAAATGTTATAAATATACAATATGCCTTGTCCTACCCACAGCCCCAATATATGTACATACGGTAAAATAAGACTCAACCCATATTTTTATATGAACTAGCTCTACAAATTGAGAAATTGTGGTCAACTAAATTTAAAAATATTAAAATCTAGATTAGTTATTTTTCCACAAGTAATCCTCAAGACCACATATCTTATATTTCATATACAGGCACGTGCACACATAGGGCTCAAGCTGTGCACATGCCCTTTTTAGTGTTGAATAGAAAGTGCCCTTCCAAAGTGATCTGATCTGAATGACCTAGTATTTATATATTAGTATTTAAAATATAAAAATAACTAAATATAAAATATATTACTAATAAAACTAAATAATGAAAAGTATTCATTAAATTAAAATAAAAAATATTGAATTAAATATAATTGAAAATAAATTCACTTAATTTTCATGAAAATTTTCTATTTGTTTTTATTTCTATTAAATTAAAGATTATTCAAAATATACAGGTGAAATAGAAGGTTTAAAAAGTCTTATTTGTTATATTGCAGCTAGAATAAAAGCACTTTGAAATTTTTAAAAAACCATTTTAAGGTGAAAATTATTAATCCCTTTAAGCTTTTTTTTCGATAGTCTACAGAACAAACCATCGTTATACAATAGCTTGCCTAGTTACCCTAGTTAAGCCTTTAAATATAACTTTATAAGCTGTATAGAAGTGTCTTGAAAAATATCTAGTAAAATATTATTTACAGTCATCATGGCAAAAATAAAATAAATCAGTTATTAGAAATAAGTTATTAAAACTATTATGTTTAGAAATGTGTTGAAAAAATAAATCTCTCCGTTAAACAGAAACTGGTGAAATAATAAACAGGGGTGAATAATTCTGACTTCAACTGTGTGTATAATGAAAACCAATATAAATGGAAAAACTAAAAACAGCATTAGCTAAAAAACTGACTGAACATTAATAAAACAAACTAAAATACTAAACAAACAGTATAAATAATATTAAAATGTGACTAACATTGCATTTGAACAACGACCCAACAAATTAGTAAAAATAAAAACAAAACAATTAAAAGCCAATTAAAATGTGAAGAGATAACAGGCTTACATTCTTATAATGTCTTTCTGCTGCATACATCTATTGCAAAAAAGCACAGAAGTAAACATCAACCATTAATCATCCTATAATAATGAAACCGTAATCATCCAGGATAAATCTAAAAAGATGTTTTTCTTTTCTTCCTGCAAGATTAATTTATCAGAAGGACTTTATGAAGTGAAATATAAAGCCTTAATGTACTCTGCTTTTGCATGTGTGGATATTTATTTCCCCCTGGTGTTGTTCATCACTGCTGATCTTAATAAAGACTTAAACACACAACTTACCTATGATGATCACCTCAGACTCATTACACATCAAAGACCAGACTCTAAACAAAGACAAAGATCATCAAAATGCAAACTTACAACACAATATCAAAGAGAAATTGATGAAATGTGTATAAACATGCAAATCTACTGGGATTTACTGACAAATGCATTTGAATTAAACAGTGTTGAATGATGTCGGTGCTGTAGAAAAGATGCAGAATAAAGCACTGAGGCTGTGTTTCCTGAAAGAGCCACCAGAGACCGTGATGAACTGCTCTCTTCATCCCCCAGGCGCAGCAGCAGCGCTGGGTTTAGATTTCACAGCACAGGTGCTCTGCGGAGATCATCTCAGACTCTGATAAACTCACTCTATTATCAGTCCTCTCTTACAAACCGCTTTTGTGTGAAAGCTTTTCTATCAAGAGTTTCATTAGAGCTCGTCTGATTTGATCTGCTGCAGTTTTAGAAATAAAGCACAAGCTGTCACTGGAGTGGTACCACATTTATACCTAAAGGGTTTCTAATGATTCCTTAAAGACATAGTTCACCCAAAAAATGTAATATACTCACTATTTACTTTTTACAAGTGGTTCCAAACCTTTATCAGTTTGTTTATTGTGTTGGTCACTGAAGAAAATATTTTGAAGAAAGCTGAAAGCCTGATGTGGGGGAGATTTTTTTTTGCCACACTTCTATTTAAATGTAAATGCCACAAGGGCAGGCTTTTGGAGTTTTGTTGCTGAAGATGCCGCATCCAGCAGAATAAAAGTCAAATCTCACAAAACTGGTTTCTTGAACATGACAGTGAGTACACTAAACTTGTCTAGTATGACTCAAAAGGCCTACAATTCTGCCCTCTTGTGGTCATTTACGATATTGACATTAATTCCTGACCAGACCTTGTGTGTTAATAATGCTTCGTAAAAGCTGTTTAATTAAATAATTTGCTACCTACCTACTTAGATAAATAATTATCAATCTTTCCCTTTTAACTTCCAGTCTAAAAATAAGAAATAAAAAGCTAGTTTGGTCAAATTTTGTTCCTCTCTAAGATATTTTAATGACAACATTTGGATATGTGGCTATTTAATAAACCAGGTTGCTGAAAGAGCAGAGCTTCAATGTTGTTCAAATGACTTCAGACTAAACAATGTAATGCAGTTCTCAATCATTTTAAACAATTTACTTACGTTTAACTCTCTTAAATTTGTTTTAAAAATGACGCTTTTGCTCAAATTGGCAACATATAAATGTCACGTGTCATCATATACAGACCAGTAATTCGTCTGTACGAAATACTGTCAAGTAGGGCTACAGCTGTGTGTTGAGTGTTTTGAGAAAATTAATAACTTTAGTCTATCAGAACTAGCTATGTGTGAGTGTTAAGTGTTTTGACACAATTAATAACTTTAGTTTTATTAATTTATCATAGGCCTACTCTGATTACCAGCGTGACCAGACCTCCGTTTAACAGGAGCTGCTGCTGGACACATTTATTCTTAGGAAGCAACAGCAATGGACTCTCTGAACGACAAATATGCAAGCAAAACCAGTTTGATGTAACATTTTTTACCAACTCTTTAGGAAAACGCAAAACGTGCAAAATACTTTTTCCCTTTTGTAACGTTCAATGTTAGCAAAGTCAGAAGGTCGCGACCATCCAGTGAAGTAATATATAAAGTATCAGCGGTCTTTCATTGACCTCTAGCGGACACATTGGGTACTACACTACACTACAGCCCATCATGGCGGCGTCCACTCGACTCATATCCAGGTTGACGTTAGTCACGGGTAAGATTTATTACGTTTCATTCGTCTTGATGGCCTTGCACATGTCTGTTAATTTTAAAAACATTTTATACTTTGGTTCTTTTTATTATCCAACCATACTGCTGGCGTCCATGTCAGGTGCTCGTATATTTGTTTATATAATGCAATACTAAAGGTTACAGATATGCAATATTGTTTTACATTATTTATACATCAAATAAATACATCAGTTAGCTTTAGCCTTCTTTTAACTATTAAAGTACACGACTGGATGTATATACATGTAATTTTAAAGCATATAACTTTTCTTGGAAGTAACATTAAATGCAGTGGAAAGTGCTGGAGTTTTTGTACACATCAGACATTTGTTGTTCAGATGGGTAAATCATGAATCTGTGTGTGTGTGTGTGTGTGTGTGTGTGTGTTCAGGAGGTGGCAGTGGTATTGGCAGGGCAGTCTGTCAGAGATTCGCCACTGAAGGTGCTTCTGTAGTAGTTGCTGACCGCAATGAGGAATCAGCCAATCAGACGCTGGAACTGCTGTCACGTGAGCACAGAGGTCAAGAGCACATGGCCCTTGGGGTGGACGTGTCTTCAAAGGACAGTGTGGAGAAGCTGGTGACCAGCATACAGGTGTGAAGGACACGCTCACTGGCTACTCTAGAGATTTATAGTTGAATATTAAAAATAAAAAGCTCATGTTTGTCTTGTTTTCCTGCAGCGCCGCTACTTCCAGCCTCCATCAGTGTGTGTGAATGCTGCCGGCATCACTCAGGATGAATTCATCCTCAAGATGGAGGAAGACGACTTTGACAAAGTCATTAAAGTCAATCTTAAGGTACCACAGTACAGAGTTAAACTTAAAGGGTTAGTTCACTCAAAAATGAAGATTTACACTCTGTTTACTCTTCCTCAAGTGGTTGTAAAACCTGTAACTGTTGACTCCCATAGTAGCAACAAATAATATGGAAGTCAGTAGTTGCAGGTTTACAGCATTCTTCAAAATATCTTCTTTTGAGTTCAACAGATTTAGGAAAGTAAAACGGGTTTGACACAAGTGAAGGGCGAGTAAATGATGACAGAATATTCAGATTTGGCTGAACTGCCTCTTTAAATTATGACCATGTTATTAAATTATAATGGAGATACATAGAGAGGATCAAAGGAATCATCCAAAAGACTGTAACACTCCTGTTTTTTGTTTTGATTTTGATTGAAATCTCTTTTTCTGCATTGGCTAATGTTGTGTGATATTTACAAATAAAATCACAGTTTAAATTTATTATCTTATATTTGATTATATTTCACATCGGGTGAATTTATCAGCATCATTACTCCAGTCTACAGCAGAGATGCCCAAACTAGGTCCCGCAGTTCAAAGTTGGCCCATGGTAACCTTTGATTTGTCTCGCCATCCCATCTGAGAAGAGAGGGAGAATAATGGGAATCCTTTTGAGATCGTTAATTCAAATATAATGCAACCTTTTGTTTGTTTTATTGTTAAAAGCTGACTGTAATTAAACGTTCCAGTTAAATGGTGTAAATCAATCAGATTGTGTTTAAATGTTCATCCTGACACCTGACAATGCTGAGACTTTGGTGAGCAAATCAAGTCAAAGGCAGATTCTGCTTGACTAGTGTATTCAGCATTGAACTCCACTGTGTTATAAATGTGATTGTTTATGTTTTAATTGCAATAAGTTTTTGTTTTAAAAGTGATTCTGCATTAGTTCATACAATGTAAAGTCATTTTTATTAAGTTTTAAGTAATATTAAATAAATCATTAAATGACCCATGGCAACTTTAATCAAATATAGTTTGGTATATTTAGCTTCAGTCCACGGCTCTCAATGATATTTTGTTTTTGGCTTTTCATGCAAAATAAGTTTGGGCACCGCTGGTCTGCAGCACGGGTGACCGACCCTGTTCCTGGAGATCTACCTTCCTGAAGATTTCAGCTTCAGCCCAGATCAAACACACCTGCCTGTAATTATCAAGGGCTGTTCAGGTCTTAATGAATTAGTGCAGGTCTGTTTGATCAGGGTTGGAGCAGAAATTTGCAGGAAGGTAGATCTCCAGGAACAGGCTTCACAAGGTCACATGACCCTTCAGAAATCATTCTGATAGGCTGATCTGGTGCTCCAGAAACTCTTTTTGTCATTATAATTGTTTAAAAAGTGAATATGAAGAGTTCAGATGCAAAAACCTACATGCCGTCTGAAATTTCCATTGAAAATGAAATCTTTTCTTAGCCTCCTTTGTTTGTGTTGAGATATTTCACTTTAAATAACAGGAAAAGGACTTATTCTTTGCCATAAAAGTGAAATTACTGAACATACATACAGGAGACTGATAAAATTACTAATTGTAGAGGACAATTTCAGATGGCATTTAGAGGTTTTTTGCATCTAAACTCTTCATATATTGGTTGAAAGAAGCGATGCATGTATTTCATTCTTGTTTGAGAGATAGAAACACTTAAAGATAAAACAATATAAAGATCTTTACTCTCACTTACTATCAATCTAATGTTAGTTAGTCAGATCAGTCTAACCAGTAGATTCCCCCTGACATCTGTAAAGTGCTTTGAGGACTCAGAAAAAGGCCTGTATAAACTAGAGGAGTTATTATTAATGTGTTCTTGCTGGATAATACTTTTATTTGATCTTTCTTTAATGACCTCTGTAATGTGTGTATCTGCTCTCTTTCAGGGCACATTTCTGGTGACTCAGGCAGTCTCGAAGGCTTTAGTCTCTGCAGGGTCAGTGAAGGGCTCCATAATTACAGTGGGCAGTATCGTGGGCAAGGTCAAGCATTTATAACATCGTCACAATGAGCATTTCACACTTTATACATCATGGAGTATTAATAAAGCATCAGTGCGTGCACACATTTGCACAGGGTCTCTTCAGAATCTCTTTCTCTGGCTGTAGGTTGGGAATATTGGCCAGGTGAATTACGCCTCTTCTAAAGCAGGAGTACAGGGACTCACTCGCACCGCCGCCAAAGAGCTGAGCAAGTAAGAGAGCACTTAACATCATGAAAATATTTAAAGATGGGTGGCTCAGTGGTTAGCACTGTCATCTCACAGCAAGAAGGTCGCTGGTTCGAGTACTAGTTTTTGGGCCAGTTGGCATTTCTGTGTGGAGTTTGCATGTTCTCCTCCTGTTCCCGAGGGTTTCCTCTGGGTGCTCCGGTTTCCCCCAACGGTGAGCCGTGATAAATCACAGACTGGTCGAAGGGGAAAATGAATGAATAAAACTTTTAAATCCCTGCCGTTTTTTTTAACACTCTGGTCATTTTCTATTTTGCTGTAGTTTTTTTGGTTCTGCTTGTGTCTTATTTGCTGTAAACATGATGCTAATCACAATGAAAGGTTGTGTTTTTGTCATTATTTTTATTGTAATATATTAATATTAGGTGTTGTGCCCGTCAGGTTTGGTATTCGCTGTAACTGTGTGCTGCCGGGGTTCATCACTACACCCATGACTGATAAAGTCCCAGAGAAAGTCATCGATAAAGTAAGCAACAGTGTTTTTTTTCTTTGAAATTGTTTAATTGATTTAATTTTATTATTTATTACTTCGTATATGACCTATTATTGATTTTGTCATTTTTATCAGATGATTTGAATTTAAATGTTATTGTCTGATTTTAACATTGTCAGGTGACTTGGCAAAATAAAGGGGAAGTTCACTCAAAAATGCAAATACAGTCATTTTTTACTCAACCTTCACTTGTTCCTAACCTTTTTGAGTTTCTTTCTTCTGTTGAACATGAAAGAAGATATTTTGAAGAATGCTGAATCTGCTAACCATTGATTTCCATAGTTTGTTTTCATTGTATTCTTCAAAATATCTTCTTTTGTGTTCAACAGAATAAACAGGGTTGTAAGGATGAGTAAATGAAGACAGAATTTACATTGTTGGGTGAACTGTGTCTTTAAAGACAGACCTATAATAACAGCACTAATCTATTTTATTGTGTTTAGATCACATCTATTATTCCACTGGGAAGAATGGGAGAGCCTGCTGGTATGTACATTTTCACTATACAAAATATGTTGATGAAAATGTTTTAATAACTATCATCACCTTGGAATTATAAGGTTCCGTCTGCGTCCTGAATGATTTTAAGATTATGAGGTTTAAAGTTTTTGCGTTCCATAGCAAACAGTATGTGTGTAACAGTATGTGTTTTTCAAATAAAAAGTCCTAAAATGTAAACAACTAAAAAAAAAAAAAAAACGTCTCATAATGTAAATATGGTGTAATTTAACAAGAATATGTCAATAACTCAATTTTGACAAAAATGTCAGATAGAACCTTATAATTGTAAGCTGACGATATATGGATGATCACTACATACAGGTCTGTGTTGATATATCGGCTTTTTACACTTAAAGGGATAGTTTAAGTGTAAAAAGAACTGAACATTGCCATCTTTTATTCACTCTTTACTTGTTACAAACCTGTTTGATGTTCTTTCTTCTGTTCTACACAAAAGAAGATATTTTGAAGAATGTTGAAAACATTTAACTATTGACCTCCATTGTATGAAAAACAAATACTATGGAAGTCAGTTACAGGTTTTCAACATTCTTCAAAATATCATCTATTTTGTTCAACAGAAACTCATGAAGGATTAATACACAGTGTCATTCTGAAGCGGGATGAAGGGAGTCCTGTCTAATCTTTTATCACGTTTATTGTGGTTAATAATTAACCCTGGGTTACTCTGTACATTCCTGAACCTCAGGTTATGAATCTGCTGTGTCTCTCCATGATTGGAAAAATGCAGCATGTGACCCCAGTGCCCGCTCAGTTACAGCAGCAAGTTTTTTCAGTCATAGCCATTTTATATATATCACTTTAAAAGTCTTTTGTGCAAAAAAGCGATTTGAGCAAAAAATTTATCCGAAGTAAAACACAAAGATAAAAGTCTGTACACCTGGCATCTTTAATGAAGGAAAGAACTACAATCCCATGATTCCCAAATGAACAAGTTAGTATGAAAATGATAATATACTACACAATATAGTATATTAAATAATTATCACAAAATATCCACATATATCTATGCACTTTTAGACTGAAGTGAGATGTGCTTTGTTTGCTCCTGCTCTCTAATTGGTGAATATTTCTAAACAGCATTATGGGTAATCTAGTTCTGTAGCACAACATTTGACTACATAAAGTAGGTTAAACAAAACCACATACTATTGATAGACAGTTTCAGAGCCCATAACAGCTCTGTCTATAAAGGTAAATAATTTCTTTCTTTAAAGTATTTTATTGTTTTACCACGGTGCTAATCTTAGTGTGAAACCTTTCTCTGTTCACAATTAAAATCAGAGTTAAAAACGATAATAAAACTGGTGTTAAGCCAATTTTTAAAGCCTTTTCTCTCTTTTTTTATTTGTCTATGCAGAAGTAGCTGACGCCTGTGCGTTTCTGGCTTCTGATGACAGCCGATATATCACCGGAGTCAGCATTGAAGTTGCTGGTAAGAAGCTTGATCTCTTTATAAACCACTATTTCAGCAGAAACGTGTGTGTTATTTCATGTAGAAACGAGCTGCTGTCAGTTTGTTGTACTGATCTACACTGTCCTCTTTAATCCATACAGGCGGACTCTTCATTGGCTGAAAACAGACTGTTGAATGTGACTCAATCGTGCCTTTACCTCAGTCAGAGTGTGTAAATTGTATTTTAATTGCTGTAAAAACTGCGTACACAATATAACAAATGAAAAAAATAAACTCTATATTTATACAACTGAAGAGAGTGAATATTCAATACAGAATTAACCGCACACAGGGAGGAAATGTGTTGATGTGTGGTTTAATGGGAACTTTAGACCAAAACAACAAGAATTAAAACAGATAACAGCTGCAAACCCACACTTATAAAACTGGAGGACAAATAAAATATTGATATCTGAAGAGTTAATTTGATGGACAGACGTATGACGGCTTCATGGAGACATGATATGTGCTGTTTAGATGATGATCTCAGTTTAGCAGATCAAATATTAGCATGTGACGACAGTAAACAACCAAAAGAACAACAAAGGAGTCCAACAGCTCTTTAAATAGATTATATATTACACAAACAGACTTTGAAGTACTTACATTAAAAACGTTTTAGCACCATAAAGACAGATGTTCGTCTTTCAAAAACAACCCTTGCAGTATCGTCCTTGTGAGAAAACCACACAAACAACTTTTCATTCACAAATCATTTTTATAGCTTTTCATTCCCCTCAATTCCTTGTTTTAAAAAACGAAAACAAAAAGGAAATATACATTAAAAACAACAAACCACCATCAGACTCTTCCTCTGGCTGTCCCTTCTCCACTGCTGTCTGACGCTCCAGACTCTCAGCACCTAAAACACACTCTCCTGAACCTCTGGATTAATGCAGCATCATCACCAAAGCATCGCTCAAAGGCAAATATACGTATATATATCATACAGAGAAGGCGGATTTGCTTCTTGGGGTTTAATTTACATATTTAATAGCGTGATGGAAACTACATGAAATAATTACAGATGAATACCACATTGTTTAGTACAGCGAGTGTTGGTTGTTTTCTTGTGAGCACCTGTTTGTTTCACAATTACATAATAAATAGATTCAAATATTTCTGTACAAATGGATTTCTAATGCACCGTTCCAGCATCGTGGATGAGTGAATGAATGAATGCTGTGGGTCAGATCAAACGCAAACATTATAATTGGTTTAAAAAGGTAGTGTGTGAAACAAAAACCAGCTTAATAATTCATAAATACTGGACTGGTAAGTTGGCATGTCTTTAAAAAAAAATCAAGAATTCATACAGATTTGAGTCACTCTATAATAAATGTACAACATTATCAAAGTCAACATCTTTACACTAGTATAAATGGCTTTGGTTTGATTTGATAAATGTGGCTGGTGTCATTCAGGATTAGAAACGTTCCTCAGTTTAATTGTAGCACCTGTGGACTGGAGGACTTTAGATGATGGAGGTAGGAGTAGCGGGACGTCCCGGAAGACAGACAGTGGGGACGGGAGCTGTAGGAGCGAAGCGGAGGGTCAGCAGTATCTGCTCCAACACACTTCTGTTACTGGACACAATCTCTTCTCTCCTGAGAGAACGGCTCTCTCTCTCCTCTTTCTCTTCTTGTGTTGTCCATTCAATGCTGGGAGTGTTTTTCCCTGGGTGTGTAGTTCGTGTGCAACTTTTATTCACAATGTGTGTGTGTGTGTGTGTGTGTGTGTGTGAGTCTATGTGTGTCACTTAATGTCTTGTGTTGGCACATCTGTGTGTGGTTGTATTTGTCGTATATTTAAGTGCATGATTGAGTGTGTGTGTTGTTTGTTTTGGTGATTGTATTCCCCTTGCCCTCAGCATGTGTGTGTCTGTGTGTGTGTGTGTGTTTATCCCAGGAAACAGACAGGTCCTACTTCAAAACCAAATTTCTGATTGTCCTCCCCAAAGTCTGAGATCCTGATGTCCAGCAGAGGGAGCTGCTCCACCTGAGGTGTGTTCACCTCCAGCACCGTCCTGTCCAGACCCTTACGATACTGCAGGACAGAGGAGAAACGATGAAGAGGCACAGAAGAAAATGAAAATATACAAGACCTAATAACAACATTTGCAATTGCAGTTGTTGCTGTACAATAATAGTTAAGTGGTACTAAAAGATTCTATAACATCACACTATATATATATATATATATATATATATATATATATATATATATATATATATATATATATATATATATATATATATATACACATTTATTTATTTATTTATATATTTCTATATTTATTTATAGTGTGATGTTATAGAATCTTTTAGTACAACTTGTGTGTGTGTGTGTGTGTGTGTGTGTATGTATGTATGTATATATAAATATATATATATATATATATATATATATATATATATATATATATATATATATATATATATATATATAACCTGTTTAATCAAGATACAAAAAGAAATCAAGAAAACAATGTTAAATTCTTAAAAAATAAGTAATAAAAATTAAAAATAAAATTTAAATATTTACAAATGTTTGGAGCAATAATTATCATGAAAAGCACTACACAAATACATTTGAACTGAATTAAATTAAAATGATCAGCAGAATCAATATATATCAGAACTCTATGTGTGTTCATATAAAGCATATACATTACACACACACATCATTGTAAACTGAAGACTAGTGAATGATACAGAAATTTGATCTGCCAACACAGTAATAAATTACATTTTAAAATATATATTTAAATAGGAAACATTTATTTTAAATTGTAATAATATTTCACAATATTTCTGTTTCTTGTTGCTTTTTAAAATGCATTTGTTGGACCCAAATATTTGACATTCTATATAAAAGTATTTAATGAATCTAATTTAATATGCATTTTACATTCCAAAAAGACCTCAACATGCTTATGCAGTGCAAATGTGCAAACATGTATAACACAAAATCATCCTAGCTGTCTGATTCTTATAGTTGAATCAACTAGTCATCTTAACTTACATCGGTCAAACAGACAATAATATTAAATTTAGCTTTGTATAAGCAATACAAATAAGTTGAAACCTGATGAACTTATTAAAAATCTAGAATAATATAACATTTGTACAAAATACTACTTTTTACAGTGTATATGCATTGAAGTCAGAATTATTAGCCCCCCTCTATATTTTTTCCCCAATTTCTGTTTAAAGACATTTTCAACACATTTTTAAACTTAATAATTTATTATAATAACATTTCTTTTACCTTTGCCATGATGACAGTACATAATATTTTACAATTTTATTTTACTAGATAAGGAAAGTTAGATTAATTAGGCAAATCATTGCATAATGATGGTCTGTTTTGAAGACAATCAACAAAAAAATAAAGCTTAAAGGGGCCAGCAATATTGACCCTAAAATAGGTTTAAAAAAATGAAAACTGCTTTTATTCCAGCCGAAATAAAACAAATAAGACTTTCTCCTGAAGGAATAACATTATAGTAATGTTATACTGTGAAAATGTCCTTACTCTGTAAACATCATTTAGCAAATATAAAAAAAAAATCAATAAATCACAGGAGAGCTAATAATGCTGACTTTAACTGTATATGTAAAAATATATGTAAGAATAAACATGTCAATTCTTACGGAGCAGCCGTCGATGAGGGCTTTGATATATGGGCTAGTCTCATAGCTGATCTCCTCATCATTGGCCCCCTGCAGACGCAGCGCCCGCTTGTATCCGCCGTCGGTGGTTTGGTCAGTCCAGGCCACCGAGCGTTGGCAGTGGTAGGTGAGGTTCTGTCTGGCCTGGACACTGAGCAGCCGCAAGAAGCCCAGCTGAACAACACCCACAGCCTCTCCAACCGAGTCTACATATGAAAACTAGACAACAAAGACAACATCAGTGCATGATTCACAGTGTATTGAACTTCACACTGTAAAAAAACAGCATTCACATTGTGTCTGGATGTGTTGTCACTACAAATCTCTTTCAGTGTAAATGCTCTATTGACATTGTTCTTCACATATGAGCGGATGCAGTCATTTGAATCTTTTTGGCTCGAGATTTCCAGTCTCACTGACTTTTATTAATTTTGAGACGTTAAAAATAGCTTGTTATACTGCAAACTGATATTTTCTTATTCTATTATTCTACTTTTTATGATAAATCATGAACACACTTGTTTGTAGCATAAGTAGTTTGACTGCCCTTTATTCTGGGCCATTTCTCCCATAGGAAACTCAATCGGAAACATGAGAACACTTCTGCATTGTAGAATAAGGTTAATAAAGTCACATTGAATTTGAGTTACAACTGTTCTTTTTTACTTATTATGATTATATAACCCTACAGAAATACTTCCTGAGAAAGAGTAAATGTTCGGTGAGACTTGATTAGTGGATCAATTTAAATTGTATGATTTGGTTTGGTTGATTATGAGAGCACATGAATGAAACATGATGTGCATAGGTGAATAATGTACAATAAATACTGTCACAGTCAATAAAATCTTGGTAAAATAATCATCTGTTGACTGAACTAAGTATTTCTGAGCAGTTTTAAAAGCAACAGCAGCATTATTTTAGAATCAGTGAGATTTTATGGACCATTTTTCACATTTCCAGGTTTATCATTAGCGGAAGTCATCATAGTTTCGTACACTTAGAGTGCAGTGAATCAGAGAGTACAAGAGTACAGAGTTTCACAATCCTATTTGCTGAAATAATCAAAGAAAAACTCCACGATGATGTTATAAAGATTTTTACAAAAGGGAAAAACAACAACGTCAAATGAACTCTCCTGCCCCATAGACACTGCATTACAAACACCTTGAATAAGCTGTAATTATTATTTTTGTAATTTAATGCAATTGTAATTTAATGATACATACATAAAGACATACATGTTCAAATAAAAAAAATCTAAATATGAAACATTTCAAAAACTTGAGATGCTGATGACAACCATAAATGCTTAATGGTCTTGTAAAAACAGTCCATTATAGTGTTTATTAATAATTTTGAAATTTTAAAAATATATTTTCTCTTCAGTTTAACTAAAATATTTTAGTATTTTTTTCTGTTTTAAATTTATTAAAAAAATATCTGTTTTAAATTTTAGCTTATTTTATTTTATTTTATTTTATTTTATTTTATTTTAAGCTTGGCTTCAGTTTTAATGAACTATAATAACTCAATATACTCACCTTGTTGCCCTTTGCAAACTGACTGAACAAGGAC